AGCCTGTCCTGGTTGCAACCCCAGCTCTCCTAGCCACTTGTGTGACCTTTAGCAAGTTTCTTAACCTTGCTGTCTCAATTTCCTTGTCCCTCAAATATGTGCAAACATCATGTCTAGCTTATAGTATCATATGAAGCTGAAATGAGTTGATTGATATGTTGAAAACGTATAGCAAATAAGTGCTGTGGGCTTCAGCTGTTAGTATTATCTGAGAATCTTAATTGTTGTGAATTCCTGCCGGCCCTTATTCTTCCTTAGAAGCACAGTGGGCAGTGAAAGGAGAGACTGATCCTTGTCAGGAAGTATGCATACATGTGACCTTGATTGTCGGTCTCCTCTGCTTATTAATTCATGCCAATCTGAGTTAGTGAATATGCAAGATTACAGAGTCTTCTCAGAGGCCAATTTTATTTTCAAGACAAGATGATTTTATTCCTAGCAGATCTAAGAGTTTGCCCAGGTGGCCTTCTTGTCTTGGTCTGTCTGCCCCAGTTGTGCCAGTCCCTTCAGGTTCCTCTGTCCTGCCTGGTCCTGACAGCCCTGCCAGGCCGACCTCTCCCTCCTTCACACCTGGTGGTTCTAAACACAGGATGCTTGGAGACAAATATAAAACCGTATATATAGAAAGTGCTGAATTAAATATATCTTATTGTCTGCCCCACACAATTAATAGCCTCCTTCAAGAAAGGGCTATTTTTCTTGAATTTCCTTTGGCACTTAGCGCTGGGTATTTAATATTAGTTACACTGAATTGAAGCTTGAGAAAAATTAGTTTGCTTACAAAGGATTTTAGAAATTTCTTCCTAAGCAGGTAAGCATTTTCTTCATGGCACAGATTTTATTAATTTACTATACAAAGCCCTTCGTCCATGGCTAGTGCAAGGATCGTCTTCAGCCCTGCCTGATCTAAATGTACAACCTGAACCAAAGAAGGGCAAGTCAGTTACTGATCTGTAACTGCAGACTGCACTGATTCTGGTCAGTAGGTGTGTGAGTGGTGGTCAGGGATGATAGAGGAGGAAATACCTTCCCACTGGAAGAGTTGTGTCATCCTGGATGATTGTAATGGTGGTTATAGTGACTCTTATCTTTCCAGTGAAGGAAGATGCTTTTTTACTTTTGAAGCCATCCATAAAGATATTGAAAGGTAGCTGCCCTTCCAAATTCTCCATGCAGTGGAACCTCTAAATGTGAACTTAAATTTTGGGCAGGAGGAGATTAGTACCATGTAGATCAATCGCTAGTACTCAGTACCCAGTACATGCTACTTAGAACCCAATCTAAGTTCTTTGAGGGGCAGGACAGCAACAGTGAGGCACATAGTTGGTTCTTGACTCTAACAAACTTGTAGTCTGAGGTGATAAGACATGCCTAATAACCAGTGGTGGGCAGTGTGCTGTCAGCCTAACTGTGAGGAATTCCAAGGAAGAGAGAAGTGAGGTGAAGAATGGTCAGGAAAAGGGTGAACATGAGCTGAGCCAGGACAGGGGCATTTAAGTGAGCTTGGAAAGGGTGGGATTTCTTGGAAAGGAGCTTGGAAAGGAGCTCACCTGAGTGAGCAGGAGCTTGGCCCTGGAGCTGGATGTGAAATGTTCCATGTTGCTGATGTCATGGGCCCAACTGCGGGGAGGATGCATCTTCAAATTGGTCCCACCCTCATCCTTTCTGGCACTTCCATTATCTGCTAACATCAGGCTCTTTGAGGCTCAGCACGCTCCCATGGGAACCAGCCTACACATAGCAGGTCAGGGGCACACTGTGACGGGATCCTGAACATCCATGGTTGAATCATTCTTTCCACAGTCCTACTAAGGTCCTGATTTGAGAGTGGGAGCCAGCTTACTGACAGACTCCATTTCTCTTTGGTAGCTCTTTCCTTTTCACAAAGCACTCTCCTGTGTTTTGTGGTTCTGCAGGTCCCCAAAGGAACTGACCAGAACTGGGCCCAGAAGCTCTATGACCGGCACTCTAGCAGCCAGCACTTCCAGAAGCCCCGCATGTCCAACACAGCCTTCATTGTTGTGCACTTCGCAGATAAGGTGGGCATTCCCATAGCCCCAGATAAGGTGCGCGTTCCCGTAGCCCCACTTTTGGTAGACTCAGATTTCTAGGCCAAGAAGGAGCTGTCCCTTTTGAATTCAAGTGGCCCAAAGCTTCCATCCTTTCTTACCTACTCCATTTCTGGGGGATGTCAAATTGCTAATATGTGGCAGGGAGTTGGCCTTGCCCAATCTTATGCTTAAGTATTTATTGAGAGTCACTTTTGGGGGAACTCAGTGGCAAGTAGGGCAGTTATGAGTCTGCCCTCATGGAGCTTGAGAGAGAAAAGGGGGAGGAGTAGAAAAGGGGAATTGAATGGTCTGCCTTCTTACCTGGGACAGGTGTCACTCTCCTTCAGGCTGCTCCTTTCCCAGTGACTGGTGTGTATGTAGGATTTTTCTAAATGGTTTGTTCCATATACACCAGCCCTGTGTTTTTCAAATTTTAGTTTGTGTATAAATCACCAAGGGCTTTTTTAAAATGCAAATTCTGATTCAGTGGGTCTGGGCTATGGCTGAGAAGATGCATTTATATATAGTCCTAAAGAAGCCTTCTGTCATGGGAACTCTCTTTTAAGACAATATTTTCTTCCACAGAAGGAATACTCAGTTCCCTCTTTGTAAATCCTGAACATTTATTCGGTTTGCATTTTAAATGAGAGCATCTGTGAGTCTCCTATCTACTTGCAGTGCATTTCAGGGAAACCCTATGTGGTTGAGATGGAAACACTCAAGTACTCAAACCACTGAAGGCACCATGTCAGGCTGAGGCACTAACTACTGTTTCTCTGTCCTGTTGCTGTGGCCCCAGGTGGAGTACCTTTCAGATGGTTTTCTGGAGAAAAACAGGGACACCGTGTATGAAGAACAGATCAACATCCTGAAGGCCAGCAAGGTAAAGAGCACAGAATGAGGCAGAGAGCAGGAATGTCACAGCAGAGCTGGGCCGGGGGAGGCAGGTGTTGGCCCCCTCCAGATGAGAGGGGAGAGAGAGGGCTTTTTGGTTATTTAGAAAACCTTTGAGCAAGAAAGGAAAACCTTTCTTACCTCATAGAGGGAAGAAAGCAGGGAGGAGGGGTGGGAGAGAGACAGCCAGGAGAGATGCTTGCTAGTGGAAGGGTGAGGAGGGGTACGCGACAGGTGACAGGAGAGAGTGGTGAGCAATGATGAAAGCACAGCTGCTATCCATTCAGTCACCTCTACCATCTCCTACCTGTGGATGTAAAGTTAAATCCCTTCATATCGCAGCATCTGTGCATTTAATTTCTGTTTACCAGTCTACAGAACCTCTCTACAAATGAGAACTTAATAGCATGGGAGATAGGATTTAAGGGACGCTTAAATCTGCTATTTTGGACTTTATTACATGGTATAATGTCCAGAATTTTACTTATTTCCTTTCCATGAGCATTGCAAAAAGTTAGCAAGTGTTGTGTCCATTCTGCAAGTAAAGGAAAGAAGGCACCAATTTATTGAAGTATAGTTATTAAGCACTGGCCTTGTGAGGCACTGCCGTACACACAAGACAGACTCTTCCCCTTGGTTGCTTAGCTCTAATGGGCTGCGAGTGGGCAGATAAAGACACACACAGGTGACGGAGAAGAGAGGAAGATGCTGGGAGGGAGGGTCGGGCAGCTGCAGGGAGCACTGTGCTGGTGTTCTGAAAGCCCAGCATTGAGCAAAGGCTGCTGCTGGCTTCAGCCCTTCGTAGGAACCCCCAGATAAAAGACTTTCTAGGACTTAAGAGGCTTTCCCCCAGACCACATTATACAAACTACTGCAGAGGCCTGATAACACTGTAGAAATGGCAGGTTAATTTCTCTTTGGGATAAGATTTAGATTAATGCAATAGGGTGAGATGATAGAATGGAGAAAATATACCCAGCAAAATAGACCCAAGATCTGCAAGCCAAGTAATCCCTTATATCACATGGCCCCCAAGGCTGGGTGGTAGTGGGGACTCTAGGGAGGATTTTAGTCAATAGCAGCATGAAGACTGCCCAGCGCAGACCCCTCGGCCCATTGTCATTTCCAGATATCTGGACCATCAGGGAATTAGGCATCACTGAGACAAATTGGCTTTGGGTAAATGTGAATATTGTTGGAGTTCAACTCAAGATTGACATCTCAGCTCTCCAGGTACCAGAACTCCAATCCACAGTTGTTAATACAACTTTTCCCATTTTTCACAAGGGTTGTGGGATAAAAGAAGAGCCGCAGGCATAAGGAATGAGAGTAGAAGTAAGAGGATAGCACATTGGGAGTTCCTTTCTCCTCATGGCCTCTCCGAATGAACCATGAGTGGCCCAAAGGTTTGGGAAACTCTGTCCTGGTTAGAGTTTCTCTCTTCAGGTAGGAGCTCAAATGAGGGGTGAGGTAAAGGGAGCTCTAGGTAATTTTCATGAAATACGGAGTTTGGTTCTGCCATCATTGACTTTTTAGTGTCTTAATTTGTGTGACTCTAGGATTTCAGAATCTAAAAAGGATTATTGCCAATAAAACATCCATACCCACTCCAGATTGTCATGTTTTAGTAGCTGAACTTTTGTCCTTTATTTAATATACATATTATTTGTGTAGTATACAGTGGTAACCAACACACATAGCTAGCCTCATGGAACTTAATGAAAAAGATAGTTTCATCACAAAGTGTAATGTTAAGATGAAGAAGAAGGTGCTATGGGAAGAGATGATAGGGAAACTTTAGAGCCCCTAAGACCATGCCCAGATTCAGTCATTTGCTAGACAGATGTAGAACCTAGCAAAAGGTGGCTGTTCTTTATTGTAGTAAAAAGATCCAGAATAAAATCAGGAAAGGAGAAAGTGCATGGAGTGAAGTCCAAGGGGACCCAAGCACAAGCCACCGAGCACATTCTCCCAGTGGAGTCTCTGGACATGCACATAAGGCCCCCCAAGTGAGTTGTGACATGCCTACCAGGAATGTCACCTGAGCCTTGGTGGCCAGCATTTTCATGTGGGCTCAGTTGTGTAGGCACCTTTTGCCAAGCACACACCAGAATTCCAGACTCCCAGAAGGAAAGCAGGTGTCCAGCACAAGCCACGCTGTTTGTATGAACAATTTAGACAGAGTGAATTATTCTTAGTGGGGAACAGTGAGACCCCTCCTGAAATCTAAGCTCCCAGACACCAGCTGGCTGTCAACTTTGGAAGCAGGACTTTCTAAGACCAGTCAGTAGTCATGGGCCTGCTGTGTTACCTCTTTTCTATACAGGGGTTATTAAATATAACCTCATAAGAAATTCAAATTATGTAGAAATACAGAAGTTCTCTCTCCCACTCCCTGACCCATCTTTTGGTGAATTCTTATTCATGTTTAAGCATAGAAGTGTATTGTTTTAAGACTGAAATAACTACTTTGTGTATAGAGAGTCCTCTCTGGTTTTTCACTTACCATTTTATCTTGACTATCCATGTGAGTCTACTTTTCTTTTTTTAAAAATAACCACTAGGAATTTGCTATTTCAAGTATTATGACAGTGAATGCTCTTTATGTCTTTGTATACTTGTACAGTTATGTCTGGGTACATTTGTAGAAGGGGAACTGATAACACAAAGAGTATGCACATCACAAGTTTATAGATGTTGCTGCATTGGAGGACTATACAGGTCTGTGATTTACTCTTGAAATGTAACCAACTTCCTCCTCTTCCCTACCTACCCACCACAATTCTAGCTTTCCCCCTCACCAACTAACATTTCTAAAGAAACCACCTTGTTGCCACCCCTGAGATGCTGTGATGGTGGCCAGGAGCACTCTGGTCAACCACGGAGGGCTTCTCAGCTAACAGGACCCAGCTGGAGGAGCACTGGAAATGTTCCATCCTGAACTCCTTCCAGCCCGTTTCAGCTGTCCCAGAAGACAGAAAGCAAAGATAGGCACTAGATCCCTGTGAGCCTGCAAACGGGCTAGACACAGGCTGTGGCTGCAGATGGGCGAGTCTAAGTGTGCTCTAAATCATCTGGGCAGCTGGGCATGTCTGGCAGCATCTGTCACTTAGCATTTTTAAAACTTGCTTACCGAGTCTTTATTTTCTTTAAAATTTTTAGCTTTCACAGTAACCCTAAAATGCTTATGTTTCTAACTCCATGTTACAGATTGAAAAGTAAAGACCTGCAGTGGTCCGACAGGGTCTTATGTCATTACATTAAAATCTTAATGCTTAATTTGTTGGTTTTCATCTCACTTAGCATAGCTAAATCTCCAATCCTATGCATAAATTCATAGTTTTACTTTATTTTACGAGAGACGACGATCGTTTTTCTTTTTTCTTTCGTGTGGCATCCTTGGTAAGAAATTAATTACAAGTTGTCACAAGTAATTAAACAGTATGGGATAGAAGACTCCCATGTATCCTACCAGCCAAAGGGATGTTTGAAAAACTCCCAGCAAGAGTAGTGAAATAACACCCTGTTAATGAGAATGTAATTAGTAAAGCCAGTTACACTGCCTACGAGGGTATAGTGTAGCTAATTGCTTTCTCAGCTATCAGGGAGCTATGAATAGACTTAAGTAAGGAAATACCTCTTTAAAACATGACTTCAAGTTATGAACAGACTCACGGCTTTAAATACTAAAGGATGAGGTTTTTACCTCCCAGTTTTTCTTTACAAAAAAATATTTTATCAACTAAGAGAAAGAAACCTTTAAAAATATTTTTTCCTCTGAAGATTTCTTGTTCTAGGCCACTGAGCGTAGGTCAGAGGGACACACAGTGGGTCATGTGCCTATGGCCAGGCATGATAAAAACATAGCCCCTGCTGGGCAGCAAGGGTGTGCTGGGCAGTGGTCCTGGCCGTCCTGACTCCATCTCTCCACTGCATCCCAGCAGAAGGGATCATGCGGCCATCCTGTCCTCAATCCCTGATCAGAAGTTGCAATATAGGGCAGCTAGGACAAGACCTAAATGTTCTCTCTACCCTTCTTTCTGCTTAAGACTTCAGCTCATAAAGGAATGACAGACAGTGCCTGTGTTCCTTACCTTCCCGCACTAATAATGTTCCTTAAGGTTACACATACAACCCATTCTGAGCAAATGGTTTGCTTTTGTTAAACTTTATTCTTTTTTATATTTTAAATTTTTTATATAGGAGCTTTATTTGAGGTAATCAACTTACGACAAAACACCTATCTTCACCATACTAGAGTTCTTCCTGTTCAAATGTGCTGGTGTTGGAGGGCTTCTAGTGTTTGGGGTAAACAGATCCCCGTGTAAGAGATCACTTGTTAGTTGATAAGACAAGTGTTGCTGTTATCCTTTTTCCAAGGTGGGAAAGTCCATGTTTGTTGTCTTCCAAAATATGAAGTGCTGTGACTTTTGTCCTCTGAAGTCCATTTAAAACCTTTTCTTAAAATTTTTAATTTTTATGGGTACATAATAGTTGCAGGTATTTATGGGGTACCTGTGAGGTTTTGACATGAGCATACTATATGCAGTGATGAAGTCAGGGTAATTCATCTCCTGACTTGGGGTATTCATCACCTCAAGCATTTATCTTTAAGAAAATAACTAGTTATTTTGAATTTTAAACAAAATATTTTTGACCTAAAATTTGGAGATTTTCCCCCCAAAGGGTATCATCAACCATGTAAAAAGAATTGGTTGAAAAGAAATGTATTTTTTTATTGTGTTTGTAGCCATGGATTTTAAAGATAAGATCCTAGGCAAGAGATCTCAAACCATTCTTATCTTGTGTCTTATTATAGTTTCCCATGTTCATTTTAAAGGAAAGATTTCTTATGTTCTTCTGAACACAAGTGAATAAGTGTGACTTCCAAGGTAATAGCTATGTATACAGCTGTAATTGCCTTCTTTCTTAAACTGTCAAATGGTCTTTAGAGAGTGTTTTCATACTTCTCTTAATCCCTTTTTGATTTGTCTCAATCTTTAAAAATCTATAAATAGCCTTGAATAGCAGAGAATACAAAAGGCAGTACCCATGGGCATGTTTTAAGTTAGTGAAAAACAGAATTAGGGAAGTGATTGTTTGTCTGGAGGTGAAACCCCGTGTGTTTTCAGGTTGGAAGAGAAGTTTTTAGAAGAGCCGAGGCAGAAGCCATCTCCTAGGTCTGTCCTAACCTGCGTTATAGTAGCTCATTACTTGACCAGTTTCTAAACATACTTCTTAATAGTGCTAAAAGCATAATTGGAGTTGGTCAATTAAAGGAAAAACAATATTCTCCCTCTCCCTCAGAAATGTGTTCTTTTATATGAACTGTTTGCCAAGGAAGATCTTGGTCACTTTGTGACTCTGTTTATGGTTAGGACACCTCTTAGGTAAGGCTGTCCCCCTCTGGGCAGATGGGGACAGTATGCCTATGGCTTTCACTCTTGTCTGCAGCCCAGATTGAACCTGTTGCCTCAGTCTTTCAGTCCTGCTGTCAAAATAGATCTATGTTGACTGAATTTTTAAACAAATCTGAATATTAAGCCTCCACCCCTTTCCCGGGATTAATATTTCATTTTCCTTTGAATCCCAGAGATTCTACCAGCTTCTAAATGCAAAGTCAATAGTGGAATCTTCAAGTCAAACAC